GGAAACAGTGGCTGGTGCTCGGGGCTCTCCTGGTCCCCAGCGCTCTCAGGCACCGTCCTGTCCTCGCTGTGGATCCTCTCCCATGTCACGGCCACGTCCTCGGGGAACGTCCCCTCCATGGAGCAGCGCAGGGTCATCTCCTGGCCCAGCAGGCACCGCTCCGGCCCCTGCACCTTTGCGACATTGTAGGAGACCGCCCAGCCTGGGGGCCAAGCAACCAATAGGGGACATGGGTCAGCCTGGGATCGTCTGGTGGATGCAAGTCTGAGCCCAGGGCAGGGAACCACGGGATGAAACCTGCCTGGGGAGAGGCAGTTTCTCTTCTGGGATTGACCTCTCCAGCACCAGGTGTCCTTGCTCCTTCACTGCCACCTCCCCGCTCTCTGGTCCATCCCCTCCCTCTGTGCCCCTGCACCCCAACTTCCCGCTCTACCTGTCCTTCTCCTCCTCCAGAAGTAAATGGCTGCAGCGGCCGCAGCTCCTGCTCCGAGCAGGATCCCCAGGACGGCTCCAACCACGGCACCGGTCCGATCCCCTGCTGCGCTCGGTGGCCATAAAAGAGAACAAGGCAGAGCTCAGCTCGCAGCATCGCTCTGAAGGGAGCAGCGTCTTGCCCAAGACCCCCAAGCCAGCCCCAACCTGGGATCGCCTCCTTCCCTCCAGCTGCAGGTCTGGCATCCTTTGTGCCCCAGCTGCTGCCCTCGCAGTCATGGGCCAGGGTTTGCTTGGCGATGCTGGGGATCCCTGCCTCTGCCCATGCACCAGGAATGTGGGGGTCAGGATGCAGGAGCCCAGGACGCCCCTCCAGGCCTGTGTCCCTCTGCTCCTTGGTGCTCCAGCTCCTTCGGGAGGGAAGGACCGTTCCCACTGCCTAATACAGTGCAGACCATGCTGCTCAGTGCTACCTTGGGGAGGAGATAAGGGAACATACCTAGGATTTCCAGGGGGACGTCCTCCTGTATGGGCTGCTCCAGAGCCTCGTGGCGGACGTGACAGGAGAAGACACTGCCGGCGTCGCTGCGGGCGGGGGTGAAGGTGTAAGTGAGGGTGAGGTTGAAGGTCCCATCCGCGTTCCTTTGGGGGCTGGAGCGGATGGGGTCGTTCAGGACCTGCCCGTCTCTCATCCACGCCACGGCCACGTGCG